ATCTCCACTTTATACCTTGCTTAGCTTGGTCGGTCCTCGAGGGAGGTCGCTCCTTGCATGGAGGTCCTTTAGATTGCCCAAGCCACGGTACTCTAAGTTGTCTTTAGGCGAGGTGCTACTAACCGACCTGCCGAGGTGGTCTATTTACTCAACACCAAAGTATCACTTAAATCCCGGGTGTCGTGATGTTACTTGAAGGACCAAATTACCCAAAGATTAATTATTTTTCTCTGTTTGCATTATCAGTCTGCATTCCTCAAGGTTTCTTAATCACCAAAGCTTTCTCTACTGTTGGCGTCAAGAGACAAATCGCATTCATCAAAAACATCTTCAACACCTAAACCAATATTGGATGCTCTCATGTTCTGTTTCCCCTCGGGGAAGCGACCACCAAAGAGAAAGGCATTCAATAGGGAAAGCTTGCATTTTTAGATCTTTCATTCTTCAATTATAGGTACGAATTCTTTCTCCTTAGTTCTAAACTAACAACAAAGTGATATTGACGATACATGCAAAACAGAAATGGGGTTTGACTGGTCTCAAATATTTGAGACCACATTGGCACACTTTAATATTCATCTCATCTAAAATCTTGAGAACTGGCCAGGAAATGATGTGGTATCAAGCTCGAACGTGCTGGGGGAAAGAATTTTCGGCTATGGCCAGCGGTTTAGGGAGGGGCATTTCCACAAAAGTTAATTGGACGCCATGATGTGTGAAATTTCTCCCAATCGTCAATTCGTCATGAAGAAGACGGAAACTTTCAAATTGTCTCTCACAATTTAATTTTTATGTAGTCGGTTTGATTGGTTTTCTTCAAAACAGGAGAAGAACATTGACCCCAAACAATTTTGTCCAGGAGATGAAGACCTAGATGAATAGCTTTATGCGAAGAACGGTGGTGGATAAACGACGGATGAAAAGCTGGTCTGGATTCTGATTGAAGCCAAGAAGCTCGGGGCGGTTGACAAGGCCATCGTTGTCACCAAACTGCTGATATTGCTAATATTTTATTTTAAAAATTTAGAGAAGAATAATAGGTAAAGGTCTTTTTCATCTTTCCGTTAATATCGTTAGTGGACCTGATGTGAATCCAAACCAGGCTAAGTTTGACAGAAATATGATTGACTGCTCAAGCCTAAAAATTTGTGGGCTGAGTAAGACATTCTAAGCCCAGGCCAGATCATAAATGATCATCAACTCCATTCTAAGGGAAAGTAGTATTGATGAATACCTCATCTTTCTCTGGTTGAATCTTGCTCTTTCTTTGTGTCAATGATCGTAGGTTTGTTTCTGTTGAGTTGCATTTATATAAGTTCTGAAATTTAAATGATCTTCCCAACTATATTTTTGTCTAAAATTTTCATAAATCCATAGCTCTTGTCCTTAATTTAGTTTTACAGTTTAGGGCCTTTTTGGCAGGTCTTTTAAGATCTTTAGGGTGGCTGGAAAAATCCATATTCCATAAAACTTTTGAAAGTTTGAATGGTTGAAAATCTAAAATTTCAAATGAAGTATTTATCAAACGATCTTAATCTTTTAGGTCTCGTTTGTTTGCCAGTATCTCATGGGGTAAGTTAGTCAATTAGATAATTGATTAATTTTCCGTGTCACTATAATGAGTCATAGAAAATGAATTTTTCAGAGAATACCGGTTACGATTACCCTTCCAAAAGGGTAGGTTATCCGTTACCCTCTTCTAAAGGGTAGGTAAGTTGCAACCAGCCAAACACATTAATCCTCTCTCACCTTCGTATTTATTGGATATGTGGAAGCATGATCGAACACCAAAACTGGAAGTTAATTGGTTAACTTTCTTCTAAGGGGGCGTTCTTTTTTCAGATTTTGAGAGGGAGAAAAGTTGGTCAATGGGAACCAAGAATCCCATTTTTTTTTCTTTTATGTGGGGACTAGGGAAAATTTATTTTCTTGGGTATCACTTATTCGGCTAAGTGATACCCATTTGTGGGTAAATAACTTTCCCACCTAGAGGTGTAAAGTGGGTTGTGCCATCTTCCCCGGTGGTAATTTTGGGGGTCGGTCCAACACGGCCCATGGCCCAGGCCCAAGCAAGCCTGTGTCGTGCCGTGTCGGCACGCGGGCCTAGACTCACTGAATGGATTTTGTCAAATCAAATGTCATATAAGGGATTCAGGATCATTGAATTAGGATTCAGGAATCAGGACATGAAACAAATAATAAATTAATAACAAATTTATGATTACCCAATAACCCAAAGAATAAATAAATAAAAATATAAAACAATTCAAATAGGAATTTAAAAATTTTATTTCATTTAAATTTGAACGAATAATGATACAAATTACAAAGCATACAATTATACAAATGTTGAAATTATGAAATATACAATGGTTGGATACTTCATATAAACTTTATACTTGGATAGTTGGATGAATGAAATATGAAAATGGAATAAATTAATAAAATATAAAAAAATACAATATAGAATTATAGACTATATAGTTACAAATTGAAAATACAAAATTACATTAATAGCAAATAAATTAAATAAAATTAAAACAAAATTTATAATAATTTGACAAAATAAAAAATTGTGGGTTATTTGTTAAAATTTACAATCTAAACAAAATTTACATATGCATTATGATAAAAGTATTCACACACACTTTCATCATCTCCTTCAGGTGAAAAACCAAATTTTCGGTGTATGTAGTACTATAGTAGTCTGTAGTATCATGCCCTCCTTTGTCTTGTAATTGTAAAGTTGTAATCTATATTTTGCATCATGATTCATAACTGCATCTAGCCAATCTTAGTAGGTTGGTATAGTGGTAGTGTCGTAGTGTGATACCTGCAGGTCCTGCACTAAAACAACTAAACAAGACTCTAATGGAACTATAGCCTATAGACACCAGAGGGGTTAGTAGATCACGGATCACGTGGCATGGCGGGATTGGTGGCGAGAAATGTTCTCCGAGACTTTGACTTCTCTCAATATTTTTAAAATTTATTTTCCATTATTTCAAAAATTCATTTAAATTGTGGGTTATTTCTTCTTCCTTCTCATGTGTGAAAAAATGTCTAGTCAAATGGCCAGTACCACCCTTGCTACAATAGCTAAAGTCTTTTCTATATTTTTGGAAAATTACTCTTTTCCCCTTCCCCTCAACATCCTCTATTTTAAATATTCTCCAAATCAGGTTACTAAACTTGGGGTTTTGGGAAGAGATGGCCATTTTTTTTCAAATTCTAAAAAAAAAAATAAATTTAATTTAATTGGACTTACCCCGGATTGCCGGTTTAGAATCCCAACTTGATTTCAACGGTTAAAGCCTTTCAATGTGACAATGTCGAAGGCTCTAAGCCTCCCAAATTGCTAATTTGGAGAATCAGACAATCAGCCAATCAGACTGAAACTATGAGAGTTCTCTCAGATGGTAGAGAATGTATGAGAGACTGAAAGAGACTGAGAGAGGAAAGACTGAAGAGATTAAGAGAATAACTTAATAGGAGAATTATTGAATGTTGATTGTTGAATTGGTGTGATGAGAATGGTGGATGATAGGGCTATTTATAGGAATTGAACATAATTCAATTGCCCAAAATACCCAAAAAACTATCTGTTATTTAGTTGTTGGGAGGGGCATTTTGGTCATTGTAAAGTTACTTATAACTTTACCCCAAATGCCCCCTAAACTAGTTGTTATATAGCTGTTGGGGGGGCATTTATGTCATTTTTTCAATTCCCCATAAGCAAAACACACAAATACCCCCCCTAATATGGCTGTTTATAGCTGTTGGGGGGTATTTCTGTAAAATATCTCCCAAAAAGTCGAAACTAGCCATTGGGCCCCTTGGGGGGGGGCAAACCGCCCAAGTCCCAAGTCCCAAGTCCCGAGACATCCAACGACTACATTCCCAAGCGGGCCGAGTGTAGCCCGTTGTGGGGCTAGCAGGCCGTGCTTCGTGCCGTGCCGACCCAAGGACCTCGAACTCCCAACCCAATATGGCACGGACCTCTGTGCTAGGCCTGGCATGGCCCATTAGCCTTCATGCTGTGTTGGGCCACGGGCGGCCCAGCCTGATTTATACCTCTATTCCCACCTAGGGGGAAAGTTGCCAACACTTGAATGGGACAAAAACGCCCATTTTAATAATGGATTTTTATGGATAAAATGGTCATTGCATTATTTACATGAGAAATAAAAGAACCTAGGTAAATGCACTTACTCGAGTAAGTGTTTTGTAGGAAAAACTTACCCAAGTAACTACATTTACGAGAGTAAATAACTTACCGAAAAGCGAACAGAGCCTAAAAATCATTTGCCTAGGTAAATGTATTATATAGGTATTGATAAAGGAATGAGGCATAGAGATCGGGTTTGGTGCTCAGAAAACCGTTATAAATGTTGCCAAACGGCTTACTAAGTAAATAAACAATTGATCACCTAAGGCTAGGACTTAAAAAAAAAACATAAGGTTTTTAAACCCGAATTGGATAATGAAGCAATCAGGGGTTAGGTTCTCGGGGTAAATGGTCCGATTATTTGAACCGAATAAATGGCCCATTTTGACAAAAAATAAGAAATAAAAAATAAAAAAATGGTCAAAACTATTGAATGATTTGAATAATTCAACCACCCGAATCAGCAATTTATTGACCAAATCAGCGGTTTTCGGTCAAATAAGAGTAAAATGAAACCGGTCACCTGATCTGTTCCCAATTTTCCGGTCTGACCGTCCGATCGGTCCGGTTTTGAAAACCATGAAAAAACAATTGATCACCTAGAGGGACCTTATCACCCACGGACTTCTTGAGATGTGGCCCACAAGAGAATTGATCACCACCTTCTCTACTTCGGCTGCACAGGAATTTTTTTTTGATGATTCATTGAGAACATTCACACTGAGTAAATAAATCACTCAATTGGAACATTTGACATCATTTATTTGATCAGAATCTTTTAGTTTCTTCCCATCTGTCGTACGTGCTTGCGCACCGGTTGAATCATGGACTCTCCCCCACTTCGGAATCGTCATTGGATTCATTGAGATATCCCCACTCCACTCTGCTCTACTGTACAGGCTTAGCTTGAGGAGTTGCAGTTGCGGGGGAGAGAGAGACAATGGCATCTTCTTCGTTTGCTGGGGCCGCTGGATCTTTCGTTGCGCAGCATAAGAGATGGTTTGCTTCCTCCACAATTCCTCGATCCATTCCATTTCTCTCATTAGATCATCCAAAGACACTCGTCTCCTTTTCGTCGTCAGTTCAAGGTACCATTTGCCCATTTGCCCTTTGATGTGTAATCTCTCTCTCTCTCTCTCTCCCCCATTTTGAGAATTTAGTTGTTGTTTTTTTTTCTGTTTCGGGTAGTTTCTTCCCCTACCGTAATCATTCAGAGAAAGGGTTCTTCTTTCGCTCAAACAGCAGCTGTTCGACACCTTATTGGATCCCTGACCAGAACAGAGGGCCTTCGTTTCGCTGTGGTGAGTTTCACGGAACCCCCTAAATTCAGTGTGAAAAACTTTTCAGTTCCTTTAGATTTGATTTTTATTTATTTTTGGTTTTATTTATTTTTTTTAAAGTATCCACATACCCAGTGGAATGTCAGGGAATGTGGAGTAAAAGTGGTACCTTTAATTGAACTAGTATATGATGAAGCAAGAGGTGAAACAATTTGTGTGAATTGGAGGTTCAAATGAAAGAAGATTTATTATAATACTTCACGTTTTTCCATAAGTTGTTCTTGCCATTGATTCCTTCCTCATTATAAAGGTTGTAGCACGGTTCAATGAAATTGTGACAAAGCTGCTGTTGGAGGGAGCTTTGGAAACTTTCAAAAGACATTCAGTTAGAGAAGAGGATATTGACGTAAGTAGCCCCCTTAAAACCTTTGGGTTTTCATCAACCAGAACTGTGACCCTCCTGCTGAATGGTTTCTATCAATTGTTATGTTGATGGGATAATAAAATGCTTCCTTATCTTCATTGCATGGACAACATGTAGGTATAGCCTGGTCTTTAGTCTTCCTTTTCTCCAGGCACTTGTTAAAAGGACTATTATTTTCTTCACTGTTCATTAGGTTGTGTGGGTTCCTGGAAGCTTTGAAATTCCTGTTGTTGCAGAAAGGCTTGGGAAATCAGGAAAATATCAAGCGGTTTTATGTATTGGAGCTGTGGTATGGTTCCCTTTTACATTATCTATTAGCAATTTTGGATTCTGGATGCTCCACTGTAAATATATTATTAGTAATGGGAAAATATATATTTTCTATTGCTTGATTCGACATTTCCCACATAGCTTTAAACCTTTTAAATTTAACACATCTTTCAAGTTTCAATATACACCATGGAACCCCCTTTTGTAAAGAGCCCGTTTGGGAGGGCTTCGGCTTTGATTAAGCTGCGTCGACTGAGCCGCATTGAAGAAGCTACTAGGATTAGCTTTACCAGATAGTTCGTTAGCTCATTTAAAGTGTATTGGACTTTCCAGGTTTTTCACCAAACATAACTTCAGGCTAATTTAAAGTGTATTCGGGTGCTTAGTCTGTTAAATCATGATTAATGAAAACAGTATCTCCTCTATTGAGATATTGCAAGGAAAAAATTTCTTTTACCTTCTCTTCTTTTGGTCCTTCCAAGTTTAGGTAGATTGATTTGCATCAACATGACTGGTCATTGGAGTTTTTTGATCATGCTTGTTGATGTCCCTGCCATGAAGCATGTTCTTATATGTTGCTAACATGACTTATTTGCCATGCCTATGCCATTCATTTTGTCCATGTGGTTAGTTAGACTGGTTGGCATATGATTAATGATATATCATTTCTAGAGCTTTTCTTCTTATTAGTCCACCCTTTATTTTTTATGTTGGTGTCATCAGACTTGTCACCATTTCCCCAGCTAAACATGAGATTTCTGTGTCAGTAGATAAGAGGTGATACTACACACTATGATGCTGTTGCTAATTCGGCTGCATCTGGAGTACTGTCAGCAGGGTTAAATTCAGGTTTGCCCTGTCATATCAATTCTATTTTCCCCCATGCAATGAAATGTATCAAGATTGAATTATGGTTCTTGGTTTCTTTAACAAATCATGAGAATAGTGCCTTTTGCTTGAAAGTGGGTGGGGTCTGCTTCTTTGGAGGTGATACAAAGCACCTTTGAGTGTTTTTTTATCTTTATTGTTTTTGTCTTTTGGTATGTCTATCATATTAGATATTTATGGCTTCTAGTCTTTTGCTGTGGGGAGGTAGAAGCATTGGGATGCTAGCATTCTCTGTTGAAATCTGGTTGCAGAAGTTTCCAGTTTTTCACAATCTATTACAATTTTTTCCCAGTTCCTGAATGTAGTGAAGAAGCTGAAGGAGCTCTCTTTCTGATATTGCAGGGGTTCCATGCATATTTGGTGTTCTAACCTGTGATGACATGGATCAGGTAAGTTTAGGTGTAAGTGTTGCCTCTTGGTATGTGTTAATGCAATTTCTCAAGCTTGCTAATTGATGGAGAATTTCATATACTTGGTTCACCTTTTCTTTTTTCTTATTTTTTTTTGAAAGGTAACATATATTTTATTAATATAAAATGCAAAAAGTATACATGGTCCTCTGTACAAAGAGATTCTGTACACCATATACACCCATTAGGGACCCCAAAAAGTCTACTCTCAAAACAAGAAGAAAAAACCTCCCCATCAAAACATTTAAGATTTGAAATCTAGCTCTTGATGAGGTCCACTGAAACATTAACAAAGATTCTACTCTTCAGAATTGACCTTTTGATCAAAGATTCTACTCTTTCTTTCCTGCCAAATAGCCCACAAGACACTGCTATAGGCACCACTGCCCAGAAAGGGTCTCCCTTTCTTAGACATACCTTGTATTTTCCACCCTTCCAGGAGGTTCCTAACTGAAATTGGGTAGCACCAAAAATCAGGAATTGCCTTTATAGAAGTGATTCCATATTCTGGAACCCAGTTTACAACAGATTACATCATTGCCCAAAACAAAGTGGGTCTATTAACCCCCTGCTTTGCTAGCACATCAGCCACCCCATTTGCTTCCCTTTTCACCCAACCAAGGCTAGAGTTAAATCTCCTGGCAAGTAGGTCAAATTGTCTAAAAATAATTCTGAATTTTCATGGTACTGATTCAATTTTCTTTGCCCATATTATGATCAGTAGTGAATCCCCTTCAATTTCCAATTCTCTTGCTCCTAACTGCTCAGCATGTTTCAAGCCCTGCAGAAGAGCCTGAGATTCAGTCTGAATTGATTCACGAAATCCATTTGGTCCTGAGAACAGTGCCATTACTTCTCCTGGGTTATTCTGAAAAGCTCCCTCTATTTCTGCACTTCCCAGATTGCCAAATTGAGCTGCAATCAAAATTAGCTTTAGTTTATTTACTTTGGTGGTTTCCATTCCATTCTCACACTATCTTTATAAGTTTCTGATTGTGCCACTTCTCTCCAATTCCTTCAAATGTCATCTGTAGAAACACCCCTGAATTGTTCCAGAGTTTTAACCCAGTGTGCAGATCTGATTTTTATGGCTTCAATCAATTCCTCCTTTGACTTACTTTTTTCATTGAATATTCTTTATTTCTTTCTGCCCATATAGACCAAGCCAAGGCTTCTCTTACTACCTTTCACATACATTTTCCCCTTTTCTTTTGTCACCTCAGGAAATTGGAGTTGAACAAACTCACTGTATCTTGTGGGGGGCCCATCTGCAACCAAAGAGAGAGCAGAAGTAATCCCAAATATAAGATACAGAAGAGCAGGATATCAGTAAGTGAGGGAGGGTTTCACCACAAGCCTTACAAAGGACACATACATGTGGAGAAAAGCAATTATTTTGCCTTCTTTTCTGTAGCACATCATAGGTGTTTTACCTTCCCTAGGAACATCTCTCAACAAAGAGCCTATATTTTAGGAGGTATTGATTTGCAATAGATTTCTCTCACAGTGAAATTTACCTCCAGAGTCAGAAAGGGTTAGCAGATTAAAAAGAGAGGCACAAGAAAACAAGCCACCAGGGGCTGGGTGCCAAACTCTAATATCAAGAACATTTTGATCCAGGTAAACCATTTCCATGTTTGAAAGGAGGAGGAGGAGGAAATCACATTTATTATCTCTCAAGCCCCTTATAAACCCAAAGTTCCAATTTATCTCGAATCTTGATGACACTCCAACCCTGGCTACAAGTTCAGCCTTAAGATTTGACAAGGAGTAAAGGTCGGGGAATTGCACTTTAAAGGGCTGGTCCCCAAGCTAATGATCTCCCAAAATAAGACCTTATTCCTACACCCCATATCAAGATGAATGAAATTAGGAAAAATAGGCAATACCTCAATGATTGCTTTCTAGGGGGAGTTTAAAGCTGCCTTTGAAGCTAATTTTGTATCCCAACCATTGTATGCTACACCATGAATGCTTTCAATGATCTCGTGCCAAAATCTATCTTCCTTACGAGGAAGTCCCTGTAGTTACTTACCTAGAAGAGCTGTATTTCACTTCGCCAAGTTCTCAATGCCTAGTCTGCCTTGCTCCGTGGGTTTACGAACTTGCTCCCATTTTATCAAGTGGGCTTTTTCTCCCTCTCCTGGCTCCCATAAGAAGTCCCTCATCATCTTCTCTAGTTATCCAGCTACTTTTGTCGAGATCCTAAAGGTGGACAGGAAGTAAGTGGGCAAGTTTGCCAAGGTGGACTTAATCAAAGTAATCCTACCCCCATAGAGATATAGTTTCTCTTCAACATGGGTAGCTTTTTGGTGAATCTCTCTACAATTGGTTTCTAGAAACTCTCAAGTTTCAGATTTCCTCCTAAAGGCATCCCAAGGTACTCTAGTGGCCACATTTTTGCCTCACAACCTAGTATTTTTGCCAAAAATTGGATTTCTTCCCTCGTCCATGTTAGTTCCTACCACAACTCTTTCCCCAATTGACTTTTAACTTTGAGATCATTTGGAAATCATTAACTAAAGCTTTCAGATTCCTTAAACTGGATTCATTCACCACAATCCTCACAAAAGATTTTCTTAAGCTCCGAGAACCCCCTATTTGCTAATGTTGTTCATTCATTCATCCTAATAAAATATTTTCTTAAAAAGCAATTAAAATTGTAAATTCATTATTTTTTGTTTGAGAACTAAGAATTTAACACCTAACATTGATTTGTTTGGGCTAGCCTCGAGGGGCGTGGCACAAAGGCGGCTCGTAGAATCAGGAATGTAATATGTTTTACATTACATTAGCTACTTGAAGTAATGCAATTGAGTGAAAGAAGAGATTAGAGGTTTTACATGCTTGAAAATGTTTTATATGTTTGATTTTATTTTTAAATTCTCATTTGAATATGCTTTACATCTTATGTTTATGTATTTTAATTTTAAATAATACTCCCCACAATATGCAATGGAATCCCCATCTCCCATTTCCATCAGTACCAAAGTTTCTGTACCAGTGTCTTTACCGAAGAGGAGTTCGGTTCCAAAAAAATCAGAATTGTCAAGTTTGTGGGCACTCGTTGAATCAAGACTGCTTACACTAGAAGGTTGATTCACTTCTTCTTTGAGGTCTCTAAGATCCTCCCAATCTGTCTCACAGTCAGAATCTCATTGTGAATCCCTGTTATACTGTGGATTTGGCTTTCTAGGAGTTGTTGAGTTTTCCATACCATGACGTTGCCACCTCCAAGCTTTTTGTGGCACCTTGACTTTGATTTCTTCTTGAGGAGAGGATTGGAGAACACCCCTAGTTGAGTTTTACGCTGTAGGGATGTGATGGCTGCTAGGAAGAGTTGAGGAGGACAATGATAGACAGATATTATCGTCCCCTATTGACAAAACAGGCCCCTCTACATGCTTCATTAATATGACCCGGCTCAGTTTGGATTTAAAGCAAGTTCACTTGATGTAAAAGAGGTATGGGCTTCTGGTTCCTTTCTCTACCCATTGGTTCTAATTGACCCGTCTAGGTTAGAATTCGATTTAGCGCCTCCACATAAGATTTCTTCTGGGCTGTTTGATCTGGTTCAAAATAATTTGAAAATTTATCCTTAATGCTATGTTTGGTTTGAAGGAAAAAGTAGGGAAAGGAAAGGAAAGTTAGGGAAACCTTCACAAATCTTTTATAGGTTTCCCTAACTTTCCTTTCTTTTCTCTACCTTTTCCTTTAAACCAAACGTAGCCTAAAAGGAAAAGTGTCCGTTCTGAGAAATTCCACCGACGTTTCAGCTCCCTGGCATCCAGTTGTTCACCTCAGCACCTTCTTCCTTCTTCGACCTTGGATTCCAGAGTTTGGCTTCAACCTCTAAAGCTAGCCAGACTGTTCTCCAATAATCATCTGCAAAAATCTCCATTGCTTGGGGGATCTTCTCCGCTTTTGCTCCAGCCACTTTGATCTTGATTGCTCAAAGGTCTTGCATGCAGTATGATTCCAGGACACCTCCACAGACCACTGCAATTTTGTGGAGAAAAATTTCCTGCCAAAGGTCAAAAGGTAGCCCAAGATTTTAATAATGATGCTTCTGTGAGAGATTCCTCTCATTACAAGAGGGTGACCAGTTTTCCACCATGATCTGGCCAAGCTTTGTTTCAACAGCCATCGTATCAATCTGAGTTTCCCCTACATCGAGGATTTCTCTCTGTTTGTCAAATGGAATAAGGGTGACCTTCTGTTTTAAGTGAAGCTTCTCCACCAGCACTTCCAGTATTTCTTTCCAGTCTTTGACTTCACTTTCTAGTTTCACAACTTTCTTCTTGACCCAGTCCATTACTCTTCCTTCCACATTATTTTTTTTTTTTGATTGGAAATGGTAGCTTTCATTAAGGATATCAAATAAACATCTTACACTGTCAACCACTCAGACAAAGAGTGTTGACCCCAAAATAGCATCAAGAGTTACAGTACAGTTCATTACTCTTCCTTCCACACTATTTTTGAACAGGCTCCAGTGAAGAGCAACACTGTTTTTTTCCATTCTGAGCACCAGTCTCTGTTTCATCAAGTTTAGTATTCATACTTTCACCTTCTTTGGATGTTCTTTTCTTCTCTTCCTCTGAAACCACTTGTTCTGTTTTCAAAGGCTTGTCTCCCTCTAAAGTAACCTCTTCCAATGCTGCCACTAACAATTCCAACTCTGTTTATCTCTTCCTTCAGGTAAGCAGATCATTTGCTCCCTCCTTTTGCCAAAGAACTCAATTAGAGTAATGAACCAGCCATTTCTGTTCCATCTGTTTTCTACCAAGAATCTTTTGCCATCTCGTACCAGCTCATTTCTCCAGCCTTGTATTCTCTCAGCAAAGATTAAGCCATCTACAAAGCCCTTGAACCGGCATAATTCTTCCTTCTCCAAGATGACCATTGCTCTTCTGCCCTGCCTTATCTTCATACTCCTCCTAATTTTCTCCCTCTCTCAAGGAGTTTTATTCCATTCT